TTTCTCTTGTTATGAACAGAATAATAATATTAAAAAAAGTCAGAAGCAGAGTGGCAGTCAGGCTGTCACAGAACCAGAATCTCCTCACTCCCACATAAGCACACTTGTCTTGAAACAGCATTCTGCCACCTCGAACAGACAGCCATACAATGACCTGGGGGTCCTATCCTATCAAGGCTTAAGACCATGCACACCCTGATGGGATTACTCACATGCTGAAAATTATGCAGTAGCTGAACTGACAGCTGAAAAGAGCCTTTAATGTTCTTATGCCTGGTAGCACTCAATTGCCAATTGATGAACACTGCTAAGTATTTATTTTAGCTTTACTTTCTCTCCTTCAGTTTTCCAACAACCTCTCTTTCTGATTACTTCTTTCTCATTTTATGCATGAGAAGGTGCTGCAAACACATAAAAATATAGGCACCCTCCCTCCAAGTTGCCCAACACCTTTTTTTGACCTTCCAAGCAAAATTTCATATTATCTACACAAGGATAGAAATCACATCTCAAGCAACAGACATTGGCGTCCGCATGCCCGTACCAATTTTAACACTGATTTTCAAAATAGATCATAGAATCATTAAAGTTGGTCAGAACTGCTAGGATTACCAAGTCCAACCCCAGCCCACCCCTCCATGCCCATAACCACATCCCTCAGTGCCACATCTCCACAGTTCTTGCACACCTCCAAGGACAGTGACTCCATCATCCCCTTGGGCAGCCTGTGCCATTGCCCAACCACCCTCTCTGAGAAGAAAGTCCTCCTAATATCCAACCTCTTTTCCAGTGCAACTTAAGGCCATCACATCCTATCCTATCGGTGCTACCTGACAGAAGAGGCCAACCCAAAAATCAAATCCTGCATGCCTCACATACAAAAACACTTTGGCAGTTTGGCTATCCTTGGCCTACGTGGATTAACAAAGTAGAACAAACATTAAAAAGAGTAATGAACCTGGACAAAAAGCCAGAAGCCGGGTGTAACACAGCACATGAAGTCACTCTCCTACTATGGTCACTTGCAGCCTGAATGCACCTATTCCAACTGCAATGAGATTTGCTTCAGCCAGTTGGCAGAGAGGTACATGTAAACTCCAATAGTCAGTCTCCAATAGCTGGAGAGAAAGCCTGACAAGCATGTGCTCAGCTGACACCATGGACCAGTATCTCATAGTCAAAAAAACTTCAGAGTCCTGAATGCCAAATACCTGTCCATCAGCAGGTATTCTTCAGATCTCATAGAGGATGGGTAGGATATCACAGGACAGCAAAGGAGCAAGATGTAGAGTTCAACTTGGGAAAGCATAAAATAAAATGAAACAGAAACAATATCAGAGTGGGAGCAGGAGAATGACAAATTTATCACCTTATCTTCAGTTCCTAGAATGGTCCATCTATGTGCGAGGTGCTGAAAGAAAAGGAGGACTAACCACTATCCTGGATCTACCACAAATAAGCCAACAGTAAGCCCACTCAACTTCCTTCTATAACAGAGCATCATTTCTGGGTAGGCAGAAAATGCAAGCTCTTATATCTCAATTTTAGAAATGCTTCTGACACGGTTTCACATGCTATTTTTATAAGCATGTTTGGGAAGTAGGATACAGATGATTATAAAGTGTACACAAAGTTGATTGGAAAACCACACACTGAGAAAATTCATCACTTACTCACAATCAGAAGGGACGGATGTATTAAATGAAGTTCTGTGGGGCCAATCCCAGTTTGGAAAGGCTCCAGGTTTTCACAAAATGACCTGAATGACTGCAGAGAGATTGCTCTTATTAAAGTTTGCTGATGGGCACCAGTTATGAAGGATTGAAAGTAGGCTGGAAAACAGATTTTTGAATAGGTTGGATATTACAAAGAATTTCTTCTGAGAAAGAACAGTCGAGCACTGGCACAGGCTGCCCATGGAGTGGTGGAGTCACCAACCCTGGAGGTGTCCAAGAGCCATAAAGATGTGGCACTGAGGAACATGGTTCAGAGGGCAGCACTGGTGGTAGATGGGTGGTTGGACTTGATGATCTTAGAGATCTTTCTAATCTTAATGATTCTATAAATCAGATGCTATGAAACTGGAATGATCCAGAAAACAAACACACAGACGTGCATTCAAGTAAACAAAATTGGGCAGGAATAATCAAATTAACAAATTCAGGATGGAAAAAAACAGATCTAAGTGACAGTTTTGCAGATGGGCTCTTCAGATACTGTGGATCACAAATGAAACAATTCCACAAACACCCCAGTGGTATCTAGAAAGATGGGTATAGCATGGGAAGCCTGTAAATCCTTTCTTTTTACCCATCTTACAAAGAGCCTAACTTTGAATGCAGGGCCTAGACTTGGGTACTAGAGCTCAAGAAAGGCAGAGAACAGACCAAATGAACTCAGACTTCTCTAACTCTCCACCCATTTTGGCTTAAGGAAATTAAATTCACTACGATTCAGCTCGAGACCTCAGGAGCTGTCCTGGTACATGCACCTCAGCTTCTTTCCCTCTTCATCTTTCCTTTTGCTGCCACTGAGGCAAAGCTGACAAGTGACGTAAGCAGGTTGATGAGCAGGAGTTATATTAAATAGTGCTATTGTGATAAATTCTTTCATAAGAAAGATAAAATCTTTCTTCATAGAAGATTTATCTGTAAAGATTTCCTCCTGCCTTAGTCTAACTCCACGCTTCAGTTCTCTGTCCTTTCAGACGCTGTCTCTATTTCTCCCTGTGCCTCTTTGGAAGTTGTGATGATCTGGAGCCATTTCAAAGAAAACACAGCACAGAGCAGGAAAAATCAGCAGGCAGGAGGAAGCAAAGATCTATTAGATCTCTTTCCTTGGGCATTTTCACCCTGCAAACAAGGGATGCAGCTTGCAGCTCAGTAAGAAAGCACAGGAAATTTGCACTGCTCTTCTTCAATATCACTTATGCTAAAAGCACATCTTCTGAGGGCAAAACAAACAAAAAACACAGAAGGAAAAAGCACAGAAGGACATACTGATCTACTGTATTTCTTCTTTGCCACTTGTATATGGGAACCTCAGCTGGTCACTTGCAGCAGCAAGGAGATTTAGCTGGCTCCATTGCTCTGCCCACTCCTGCAGTGATCCTGCAGTAAGGACTAACTGAATGCAAAGTTTAGTAGAGCAAAATACAGAACTTCTCTCCAGACTTCAGAAAGGCCATAAGGCATTTCAGGGAAGCCCTACAGTTGCAAGAAGGATTCGGAAACACACTATAAAACATTGAGAAATCAGCTTAGTAGCCAAGAGAGCTCAATTAAGCCTCAGCAAAATCAAATTCAAAATCAAACCCAATGCACTGTATTCAGTCCCCCTCAAAGCTTTTTTCTGTGCACGAGGAAAAGGATGGATGGCAGACACAGAACAAGACAGCCATCATTCCCTCTCCACATCTTTGTCCTGTGTCATGCGCAGAGGATGGCTCCTTCTATGGGCAGAGGACATCAGAACCTACAGGCACCTGAAAACTCCGTAAGAAGTTTGGGGCTAAGACCAAAAATATTTCTCATTCCTTCACTCAATTTGCAGCAACACAGCGACCATGGAGACTTGCATTAACGTAGGACCAGACGCCTCCGGTGACATGGAAGCAGACAAATGATTCTCCTCCACAGCTGGGATTCTTCTGGCACAGCCAGTGCCAGCCACCCCTGAGCTGGGGCCCACTTTATGGCTCAGCCCCAAGAGCACTGGAACTCCTGCCAAGCTGGTTTTTGATCTTTCTGTGGAACAGCTGCATTCCTGTCCTGCTAAATCATGCGTTTGGGCTTCTTCTGCCTACTGGTATGCATCGCCATGGTTTGGACAGCTTTGAAACGAGCCCCAGCCCCCCGGCTACTCACCGCTGTGCTGCTACAGCAAGTGCGTATCACATCTAGTCACCATCCATAGGATTAAGCAACACAACCAGGATGAGCTGCTCTGAACCTGGTTTATTTCACCTCTCAGATTTAGGGAGGAAAAAACCCCACAATTTTCTAGAATTAGGTTCGTGTTTTAGGGCATTGAATATTTGTACACCAAGGAGAGCACAAAGTCAGGCAAAGTAAAATGGTTCCAACACTGTAAATTACCTCTGTACTTCCAACTCCAATGTCTTTGCTTTCAGAAGGGGAACACTTGCAGCAGAGCAGAACTAGCTCCATGCAGTACATTTAGCTGCAACAAGCAGAGCTACAGCATCCAACAAAGTACATCACACCCAGCTGGAAATAACAGAGCCTATCCATGCTGGAGAGCCTGGGGCCAGGACCCGGTGCTTGTGACCTCTGCAGAGGTGCCTTTCTACACTGATCTACCCACTCTTGAGCAGAGGTTAAATGGCTACATTAAATTCCACAGAAAAAAGCAAAGAGCCCACCCTAGGCTTCCAGAGGTCAGCATCTCATTGAAATGGCAAATTTCTAGCTTAAGCCAAATTATTTGTTAGAAAATGTAGCAGTGTATTACACTGGAGAAGGGGGAGGGGATATGGCAGCAATCCCACCATGTTCAGCAGTCCCTTACCTCCTATTTCCCTGCACCAGCCCGCTTTCAACCACTGCTAAATGCTCAGCCCATTCACATGCTCATCTTGAAAAAAAGAAGAGCTATCATTAGGCTTCACTGAAACAGAAGAGTTGTAAAGGCTCCGCAGTATTTGAAGCCTGGGTTTGCTGATCCTCCAGCCCAAGGCGGTCAAGGCAGGAAGCAGCCTGAAGGGTGCTCACAGTGGTCACAGGGAGAAAATCTTTCCAGAGAAGCAGAGACACATTTTCAAAATCAAAGCAATTAAGTCACAGTTTCGATGCAAAGGTTTGGATTTGTAAACCTCCCCTCTGCTTTGAAACTGTTAGTGGTATTTAAGGTAGTTAAAGGAAATCAGAATAAGTAAAAGCAAACTGCTGGAGAAGGGAAAAATGTATATATATATATATATATATGTATATATATATACACACACACGCACATACACATACATATATAGGCTCACTCACCGAAGTCTGATTGCAAATCCTTTTTCAGTCCACAAAGCATGTCTGCTATTAGCTATCAAACCATTCAACTAACTGCAGCAGGCACTCCTTGCTCTCACCCCGACTGCTCTGGGATCACTTTTCGCTGCCACCCACAGCCGAGCAGCCCTGCAGAACACACACTGCTCCTTGCTTCACCGTAGGGACAGAAAAAGAAATTGTCCTGGACCGCAAACAGTCCAGTTTGCAAGAACTCTAAAAATGTTGCAATCCTTCCGAAAGAAATGTCCTTACATGGCTCCCCAGTGCTGTATAGAAATAGGAAAATGAAGGCTATGGTCCTAAAATTCCGTGGTGGTTGGCTCGGATCGAGTGGCCATCAGGCATTGAAAAGCGAAAGTTAGGAGCGCAGTGATTAAAGGGAACAGCTGGTTGGAGGGGAGGCAACCGGCCAGCCCTGGCTCCAGCAGATGCAGTGAATGCAGAGCGCTTCATTCCCGGCGGCATTGCCCCTCGTGCTGTGCCGGTTGGGAGCAGGCAGCACCCCACGGAGAGCTGTCAGTCCACAGCACAAGCCCTTCTGGGGCTTCCATGGGGATCTCAGGCAGGGGGAGAATTTAAAAAACAAAAACAAAAAACGTGAGGAAAGGGGGACAAGAGAAAAGGCAGCAGCTGGTCCTGCGGAGGTACGCACAGAGCTGCGCGCACAGCCAGCTGCAGAAGTTGGCTGGCGGCTGAGCCTCCAAGTTGCAGCAGCAGAGGAGGCTGCGGCTGCAGCGCTGCCTGACACACTTCCCTCTCCCCCACCCCCTCTTGGCAAGTGCTTGCAGAGCCTCCAGCACCTTTCAAGGCAATGTCAAGCTGCTGTCAAAGCACTACGCTGCCTCCAGAACACATGCCGGGTGCTCGTAAGGGAGCATGAAGCTGCAGTCTTATGGCCTGCCTGCAGCGCTTTCTGAAAACTCAGCTTAACCCTTTCTTAGGAAGGGCAGAGCAACCGTCACCACACGTGCAAGCCCTCTGCTTGCGTCTGGGCAAGTGGCAGGGCTTTGGGGCAATGCTGGGACATGGGGACAGGGCAGATGCTCCTTGCTTTACCCTCAAGCAGTTGGTCCTGCACTAGGGGTGGGCATAGGGCACTGGACTGGAAATTGTTTCAGTAGACCAGCATCTGCTCCCTTTGCTGCACTGAAGATGCAGTGAGGTGACCTCCCTCGGACACTCGGCAGGACAGGCAGCAAAGCTGCAGCACAACAAAGGTCCCCAAAAGTCATGCTGGGAGATACAGTCTGCATTTACATTCACCAGCCTATATCTCACATCCAAAAGGCAGCTTATCCATAGGCACTGCATTCCCCTGGGAACTGACATCATGTACAGAGGCAAGGTTGTATGCACAGATGGCGCAGGAGGAGCACAGCAGCACAAAGGCTGCTTCTTTAGGAGAGTCAGATGAGTTTGAGTCTACTTCAGTGTTTGGTTGAATGTGGCCAAGAGCTTGGAAGTTTTGAAGGAAACTCATGGGCAAGGCTTTTTCCTTAGGAAAATGAAACCTGGATAGCTCAGAAGGGCCTGAACAGCTGGATGTGCTAGCAGGAAGTTCTGCAAAGTGGGGACCCCACACTCAGCATGGGAACTGGGTTTCAGCCTAATGCCAGAGGTTTTTGCGCGGATTGAAAGGCTCTAACATCTCCACTTTGGTTCAAACTCAGCTGTTCCACGTACAGATAACTTACACAAAAGCAATAAAATTACTAAGTCAGAAAAAAACACTTCCAAAGGAAATATTTGGTCCATAATTAGTTTTTAAGAAGTCGTTCAGTCTGACAATAGACTTAATTAGTAATTGAGCTGAAACTTGTAATTAGAAATCTTTTCACATGGCTATTAATGTTTTTCCTGCAAAGAAATCTCATCTTAAGGGGGGAAAAAAAAATATCTACATTTGCACCACAAATACAAGGAGAAGATGCTAATTTGAGAACAGCACATTGCTTTGGATGCACGAAGTGGACGTCTCCATAGGGTGTTTTAAGGCAAAGCTCAAAGCAATCACACTCATGCCACCATAGAGACCTTCCCAGAATATCTGCTGCACTGAGAATCAGAGAATCATTAAGGTTGGACATCAAGGCCAACCCATTCACCTAATACCAATATTGCCCACTAATCCATGTCCCAGTGGAAATGGCAGGAGAGGACAGGTCTGCTACACAGTTGTGGCTGCTTTGGGTTGTGGTGAGAACTGGGCAGAGCTGTCCCATTCCTCTTCTGCCATTAGAAAATGAAGAGGCATTTTGGAATTTCCAATCCAGACCTGTTTGTGCTATTTCCTGAGCTGGCACAGCCTGCCAGGAGCCCGGAGAGGAGCGGAGAAAGATGTTTACTCTGTGGTTGCTGGCCAAAACCCATAAACACAATGCTTGCTTTCTGTTTCAGGTGGCAGTATGTTAAAATCAGTTGAAGTGAAAAGCTCGAGTCTCTCAAGGGGAAGGAAAAGGGCACACCACGCACATCCAAAAAAAATAACAGGCAGCCAGAACAGACACATTGTGACATCAAAATATATAGGTGCCATAAAAGACCATGAGGCACCAACCTAAACCATCCGTTTTTTAACAGTCTGCACACTCCAGCTCTTGGCATTAACTTTATGCTTGCATGCCCTGAACTAAAAGCTCTCCAAAAACACTCTACCAAACAAGTCTCACCTAAGAATGAGTTACTGACCCAAACACTGTGCCCACTGGAAACAGGAGTAAATTTAGGGAATAGGGGGTGTTACAAAGCCTTTCAACACTGGGTAAAAAAAAAAAAAAAAAAAAAAAAAACAACAAAAAACGAACGAACACCATTCGGCTTTCTTGGCACATACTGCGCCCCAGGAGTAAAGAGGGCATACAGAATGCTTTCTCTGGTTTCTATTCAGTGTAAAAACTGAGCCAAGCAGAGAATGGGCTGAGGAAAGTTCATGTTGGAACAGCTTCCAAGCGGTCCCTATTGGAAACATCCCTGTGGGCTTGTGAGGGGAGCATGCAGCTAAAGGGGCAGTACCAGCCCATAAGACATCAGTCCAGAGAAAAGGGCAATCTTTCTTTTCTAGAACAGGCCGACCTTTGAGCAAAATTCATCTGGTGCAAGAAAGCTACCCTTCTATATACATCTGTACTAGCACCTGCTTTTTCTTGTACCTAACAAATATTCTGCTGCTTTTGAACTTGTTCTCTTTCCCCAGAGCAAACTGTCAAGTCCTCCCAGAACTTTGGTGGGAGTGGAGCTGGAAACTTCACACAGCCTAAATTGGTTGGGATGGCATTTACAGAATACACTTTTATGCAAAGACGACAGAGCACAGCAGAAGGAAGATCAAAAGCCGTTCAAAATGTTAGTGATTTAGTCCACTGCTTGATGGATATTTGTTCCTGTGACTTTAACCATTACTTATTTAATCGCCTCTAAAAGTATCTTCATCAGAAGTCACAGGACTGTGCAACACTACAAGATCCTGCAACGGACCATTTAGCACTGAACACGCTCTGAGCCTGGGAGAACACACAGAGCATCTTACATCACTCCACATTAGGAAGTCTCAGGAGACTCTCTGAAGACAGCTGAACGAACGTAATGAACAGTCAGGCAGATAAAAACGAGGAGGAAAAACACCCAACCACACGCACTTACAGTGCGCCGAGAAACGCCGAAGTTCCAACCACACATAAAGATCACATTAATAGCAACAGAAATTGCTTCGGGTTAGGGGAGGTTTGGAAGAGACTGACGCAGACGCTTGCTATTTCTTTTAAATTCAGATCTTAAATTGAGATTTGATGTTGCCATCCCCTTCTCCCCACCAACTTCTTCAGTTTACAAATGCACCTCTACACACTGCGGTCTACTTTGGGCTGCAGTTCTCTCTGCCAGCCCATCACCCCCTCAAGACTGGTTTCTGGCACAGTAGACCTATGACTTGCAATGGGGCTTTTCTTTGGCCTAAGCAGATGCTCTGTTTTTTGGAAGCTGACTTAAAACGTAACAGTTCTTTACTTATATATTTCTATAGGAAGATTAAAATGGACTTCTTAAAAAGATCTTTTTAAGAAGTCCGGAATTTAAATCATTTCATAATGGAACCAGAGGAAGAACTCTGATTATTCTTTCCTTTAAGTGTGAACTCCACAAGCCAGTCCTAAACATTAACTTATTATAGATAATGAACACTGCGGGATACATTTACCCATCCAGTAGGCAGTCAGAGCCATTGCTGCACACTTACACAGAGCACAGAGATGGAGAATGTTGCTGAGCATACTTCCAAGACCAAGACCCCCCACCCATCTCCTTCATCTCTAAGCACACTAAAACACTCACTGTACATTTTTCTGCTTAACCATTTTCAAAAGAGCCATCTGCATCTGTCACTGCCCGTCAGCAAGTGGGGAAGTGGTGGGGGAGAAGTCAGCAGTGAATGCCAGCAGCCTCCTGGAGCTCTGAGCAATGGCAAGAACCAAGCTCTGCAGTGACCCCTCCATGGAACACCAGCAATCTGGCACTCCCCAGTGATGGATTTTGCCTGTGCACCAGCTTCACTGATCTATCTGAAACGCATGTTAAAGCAGCATGCTCCCCTCCCAGGAGGGAAAGCCAAAAACTGCAGTGATTGGATGTTCCAGTTTTTAAAACCCAAAACTCTTGATCTCTTTCCAGTAACCAGTGTCCCCCAGGCAACCTTCCTCCCACTCCTAAGAGCAGGGGAACATTCCCTTCCCTATTCCATGTAGACATAAGCACAGGCACTTTCACCTGCCAAAACTACAAACAATGTGTTTTCTTGGGGGAAAACATCCCAGTCCTTAGTGAGTCCATCCCTAGAACATTGATTGTTTCTATCCAAATTGGTTTATTCTTTATTGCAAGACCAGAAACTAATCATAGCCTGCAATGGCTCAGCCCTTTCTTTTTGCAAGCATCTAAGTTGACTTAGCTAGAACATTTTTAGCTAAAAGGAGAAGCGAAAAGGTGCATCTTGAGTCAACAGGAGTCAAGAGCCATTGCCAGAGCCACGCCTGAAGCTGCGCTCTTGCATCACTTCAAAGCATTTTCCAGATTTTGTGGGTTTAACTTTAACAGTTAACCTGCCTCCTCCAGGCAATTCCTCCTGACTGCCTCCTTTAGCTAACACTTCAGTTGTGAGCCCCAGTTGTACAAACAGGCCCAAAACTCCAGTATAAGCAGCACAGACCAAAGCAGGCACTGTCTGAACTATGGGGAGCAACCACACTTACAGGTCCTTCACTTAAATCCCTACTTCATGTTACGCAAAGGCTAAGAGCAGTGGTCCTCAGGAGAGTATGGAGTACATCCTTCTCCATTAATGCTGTATATATGCTATGCAATTATTTTTTTTAATCACTGAACATAAGGGGAAATCCCATCATTTATCTCGAACTGTGGATTTTTGGATTTGGGTATTCAGAACAGGAATAATTCAGGGCTGTAGACTCCAGAGCTGCTAAGAGGAGCAGAGGAAGAGAAATAGGCTGAAGCAAGATCCCCTACTGGCCAGCCAGGCCTAATGATGCAAAAGAGCTAATTTGGGGACCTTATAAGCAGAGGTCACCCCAAAAAGCTGCATCTCAGCTGTGCAATGACACAAGAGAAATCATCCTGAGCACACACTGAAGCAGCCCAGCAGGGAACTGAGCAGGGATGGAGGAACCGTGCAGAAAAGCAGAGTC